GTCTCCTCCTTGTTTGCATTCTCTCTATGACCTATTGCTCACACGCTCGGTCTATGTCTAAAAAGTTGTCTGCCTTTGATTGAAAGGTTGAATTTAACTTAGACAAGAGATTTTTCTATGAAAGATATTAAGTAAAAAGGTTTGTTGTGTGAAATTTTCTAATCTCTCATAAAGAAAGTTTGTTTCTTTGGCGGCAATTTTGACAGATAATTCTCGTGTGTATCTTTGCGTGTGTGAGTCTCAAAATGAGGAATAGGATATTTATCCGGTGTAGTTTCAACATTTAATGAACGATAGTCACCACACGGACGCCAATCATTAGCTCCAGGTTTAGAAACCATATTGCAAGGGAGTAGTAGCATAGGGACTGGAAGAAGGACGAATAATTCCTTGTTGAAAATTACGCTGAAATTCAGCTTTCGCAAATTTATATTTTTCAAGGTGAAGACGACGAGGGCTGGGATGGACGGAAGGTCCAATAGTAGTAATTTGATGTTCAGCATTATGTCGTACTGGCTCAGTATATATAAATGGTGTAGATAACTCCGGAAACTGGCATAAGAGTCGACGAACATCATCATTAATAGTAGTTGTAGAACAAATACCTAGGGTTCGTTTAAAGGTACGAATACCATTAAGGTATAAGGACGTAATGTTATCAGTTAGTGTGCGAGTGGACACATCCACTAGTAGACCGAAGTGTGTAAGAAAGTCAGCACCTAGTATTGGCATATCAACTTGGGCTACTACAATATTCTTAGCATCCTTCTGTAGAAGGTTTCTTCTTCATCTTTGAGAAAATCGCCCAACATTCGCTGCCGTAAAGAAGGACAGATGTCACGTAACAGCTCAGTATTCTTTTCTTTGTTACCAAAGAAATCCTCCTGTTCGACAGTTGATGGGCACGTAGCGTAGTCGAAAATGGAGTTAACATGCCGAGTTCAAATTCCAGCTGAAGCCGTTGTGTTCACTTTCGCACAAATAGCTTTTAAAATGCATGAACCCATCTCTTCTCCTGCCACATATAGTTTAAATAGCAGGACAGACTAGGATCTTGCTAGCAACCAGTCTAAGAGAAAGACAACTCTAAATACAAAATCAGTTGTCCGTGTGCTAGCAACTCCACCCCGTAAAAAAATCTGCTTAGTACGAAAATCAGAGCAGCAACACGTACGTTGGTGAGTTTATGGCCCTGTGATCCACACGGAAATCTGCGGTGTTATCATAATCCATAACAGTTGAACGTAAAGGAAAGCTCAGTATCGCAAGTAAATACTTCCTGACCCGTGAGCCTTTGCTGTAAACATGTATTATATTAATACAGCTATCTTTGACTAATCGCTGTATTCATTGAACATCAAGCGAAGAACAAGCGCAAAGGCCTATCTAGCACAAGACTACAATATTGGAACATATATATGTTTTGCAAAAAAATAAAGGTGCAGTATTAGACATGATCTAAAAAATAAAATAGTTATATTCCTGAAATACCTTCGATAGTATCAGCTACTTATCATCTACTTTGCGCTAAAGTTACAAGATAAATATTAATTACAGTACAATAATTTTCATGCTTGACTATTAAGTCATTCACGGCAATTTGGCTTCATAGTGTGGGTGTTTATTAGGTTGGTGCAAAAATAAGCGGTCACCCATGTTTAATAACCAAGCTCGATGTTGCTTAACTTCCGTGATATTACGGGAACCGGTGTTTCAACGTGATGTAACTGTAAGCATCTGTGTAGTGAGTTCGACAACTGAACTCAATGATACCCCCTGACGAATGGACGGTGTAATTTCGTTTATTAGGCATTGAGCAGATCATCTCACATCCATGAACTTGCCTGACTTTTCTGCTAACCTGATGAATATTCATGAGCATTCCCATACCGAAAAATTTTTGAAAAACAATAACATTTTTGTTCTTATACAGTGTAACCCGGATATAAGAGAAACTCGGTTATAAGAGATATTTTCTCTGGTCCCAAATTAGAGCTTGTGTTAATGTATATAAAATAGACCAAACCCGGATATAAGAGACTTCTTCTCCGGTCCCGACAACTCTCTTATATCCGGGTTACACTGTATATAAATTCTTGTGACAAGATAAAATCCTTACAATTGCCTTGATAGTCTCTGAGAGAACGAAACGCGCCGAATAAGATAAATTTTCCTTTTTTCTTTATTCATATTGTCCTTTTATAGATATACTCTTCTGACATTGTTATATATATATATATATATATATATAAAATAATAGCTGGCCACTTGTATTCTACCCATCTACTAGAGCGGCTAGCCAATCCCTAATTCAGACGCTCAGGTACATTTGTGTTTGCTCAACACCCACAGAGCCCACCTGTGGTTTATACTGCAACTATGCTGAGCAGACCTTAGTTACAGTTTCTGGGAGAGAGTGTGTTATCTAGCGGGATCAACAATCTGACCAATGTCGTTTTCTCGCATATGTTTGAACGTCAAAAAACGACATTATTTTTGCACCAACCTAATATTAAACCCAGTTTTATTTTGGCATGCGGCCACAAGCATGGGGTATCCAGTGAGAATCGAATTCACGACATGTCCGTAATGTTCTGTGAGCCATTACCCCATTACATGTCTATGAATGTGACCTTGGGACTTTTAAATAATTTTATGTCACGCAAACACATATAGAGGGAGAGAAACGGGGAGGAAAGGAAAACGAAGAGAGATAGATGAAGAGAGAGAAGGGGGTGAAACAAGAGAGAGAGAAAAGTGATAAAAGAATAGACATTGGGAAAGTGAAGAGAGAAAGAGAGAGAGAAAGAGCTGAAAGAAGAGAGAAAGAGTGGAAAGAAAACAGAGATAATGTAAGAAAGAGAAAGACGAATAGAAAAGGGACCAAAAGGATAAGAGAGAGTCGAAGATGAGAGAGAGAGGGGGGAAAAGGGGGGAATGAGACGAAAGCAGTGACAGAAAGAAAGAAAGAAAGAGTATAAGACAGAACAGAGAATAGATGAGAAAGGGACGAAAGGAATAAAAAAAAAAAACAATGAAAGAAAGAAAGAGAGAGAGAGAGAAAGACGAAAGAGAAACGGAGAAAATAGACAAAGAGGGAATAGAGAGAGAAGGAGCGAAAAGAGTAATAAAAAGCGTCAAAGAAAGATTAGTAACGAGGGAAGTGAGTAGAATAGAAAAGGAAGAGAGAGGGGAGACAGAGAGAGTGAAGGAGAAAGGAAAAAACAGATATGTAATTAGGAAAAATGTTGTTAATGAGTTTGGAACAGTTCGTTAACAGAACGTTAACGAACCACGAATATAATTAACACCGAAAAAATACATCGGTTACGAATGGAAAGACACATTAAAATGTTCAATAGCTTAAAAAATTTGTGAATATTTATCCATCTTTGTGTGTGCGACTTGTCAGAACTTGAGTACTCGATAGTAATTACCCATGAATTCTTGAAGATTAAATTTGACTTGTTATGTGCATTATTTCTGATCTTTTATCCGATTGCAATAAACAGTTTACCATGGGGAAATAGGCAGAAATCCAGCCTAGTAAACCAGTTGTTCCCAAACGATGCAGCTCGCCTCATAGGTAAGGCGAAAGAGGATAGCAGATGAGGCAGAATGCTTGAAAGTCAATTTAGGAACAGTTTTTAAAAAATTAAAAAATAGGTATGATTTCAAAATTTAAAATATTATTATGGATTACTTGTAATTGTATGCATGAATCCCAGTATAAAAAGTTATAAATAATTATTGTGATATTTTTAATTATATCAAGTATTAAGAATATAGTAACTGGGGTCTGCAAATCGGAGGAGAGTCTGACTTCGAGTCCGCGGTTATCTCCCTTTAACACTATGTTTTTTTTGTTTTGTTTTTTTAATATACTTTTTATCACATAAAATTTGGTGAGGTGCGAGCAAATTTTCATTTCGAAAATGTAGCCCAGAGAAAAAAAGAAATGTTTGGGAGCTATTGTAGTAAACTAAACAAACTATTAGTATGGTGGTATCTGCCACACAGAGTTTACGGACTATTTTGTGTTAGGAAGAATAACGTGTTCCAGTAGCACACCGATACTAATATTAGGATTAGTGTAGCCATTGATCCACTAACACTGAATACGAATATAGAAAGACGAAATACGCGAGCGTATCAAACAAAACATTTACTAAGGCAAACAACTTACATACATATATTAAAAAGATTTACATATGTCCCAAAAACAAATGATTGTCCATATTGTCCCAAAGGAACGAGGAGGTTTACAGAACGAGAAAAAAATAACATACCAGCTATATGGCATTTGATAGTCCGCAGATAAATGAATGGAAATTAATTTTTTCTTTCGTTAGGCCGTGCACATGTTGACCAGTTTCCACGTGTGTGTACACCCTGGTGGTCAGGAAGGTAAAGAGGCCGTTCCTCCAAAAACGGAAGCAAAGACAAAAAAAAAACAACAAAAAAAAACAGAAGAGTTCTACTCACTAAAGGGGCCAAAACTCGTATGAGCTCAACCCAAGGGAAAACAACTGTGGTCTCCCTACAAAACTATTGCTCCTGTGCAGTAAATTCTTCCCTCCCCGAATGCCCGACATTTGTGGACTTGACCCAGACTAAGCAAAGCTTAGTAAATATCAATAACTTTACAGGAAGTCATGTTGTTGTGTAGAGGGGAAAGAGATGGTCTAGCAAATCATTACTTCTCTGTAGTGATTGTTGGTTTGCTGATTTGTTTTCTACGGCTTATAAATTCTTTGCAGGTTATTGAAAGCCAGAAAATACCTTCAGATTGTAAGATTTGATGGGGAACATAATAGTGGTTTAATGATACAATTCTTACTAATTAACCCATACATGGGGGAGAAGAGGTGTATTTATACCTTTCCCAAGGGTATTTGCGAGGAAACGAATATGACGAATCCAACTGGAATTGAAACTCTGCTCTCCGATTAACAATTTCGAGCCATTATCCATTAAGCCACCCGCACATCTTTGCTTAGAGCACGTGAAATTCCCAAGCGGTCACCCATATTTAATAACCAAGCTCGACATTGCTTAACTTCTGTGATCTTACGGGAACCGGTGTTTCAACGTGATGTAACTGTAAGCCTCTGTGTAGTGAGTTCGACGACTGAACTCAATGATACCCCCTGACGAATGGACGGTGTAATTTCGTTTATTAGGCATTGAACTGATCATCTCACATCCATGAACTTGCCTGACTTTTCTGCTAACCTGATGAATATTCATGAGCATTCCCATACCGAAAACATTTTTGAAAAACAATGACATTTTTGTTCTTATATATAAATTCTTGTGACAAGATAAAATCCTTACAATTGCCTTGAGAGTCTCTGAGAGGACAAAACGCGTCGAATAAGATAAATTTTCCTTTTTTCTTTATTCATATTGTCCTTTTATAGATATACTCTTCTGACATTGTTATATATAAAATAATAGCTGCTCACTCGTATTCTACCCATCTACTGGAGCGGCTAGCCAATCCCTAATTCAGACGCTCAGGTACATTTGTGTCTGTTCAACACCCACAAAGAACAACTGTGGTTTATACTGCAACTATACTGAGCAGACCTTAGTTACAGTTTCTGGGAGAGAGTGTGTTATCTAGCGTCATCAACAATCTGAACAAGGCCAGCACGCTCAAGCCCTCAAGTACGATGACTTGTGACTTTGTGCTAGCACAGATATCGACGGACCCCAAGTGTTCCGTCTACGCAATTTCACTCACAAGGCTTGGGTCAACCCGAGGTATGGTTTTCAGGCACTTTCCAAAGGTGCCGTACGCTGTTATATATATATATATATATATATATTGTTGATAGAAATCTTATAAGTATAAGAAACTATACTCGCTCGGAAAATCTTTGCAAATAAACAAGCCAATACCAAAGGGGAAAAAAGGTATAAAAAAAAGAACCAAGAAGATGTACGTTAGCCGAAAATAATCGTCCAGCATGCAAGTCCAAGGCCCAAAGAAAAAAAACCCGATGCTAGGACCTAGAGCTGGATTATTATTAATAGAAATCTTATAAGAAGCTAATTACTAACTATATATATATATATATATATATATATATATATATATATATATATATATATATATATATATATATATCATCCACATACAGACTGATCAGTGTGGCTAGACGTCCGCTTGCCTCTAGCTAGGATCGAAACTGACTGAATTGGTTTCAGTCGGAGATTCTACCACTAATTCGGTGGCGCTAGGCAGGGATGAAAGTGAATTTCATCGTATTTATTTTTAGATAAACACACAGCGACTGAATGAACTCGATTCGATTTAACGAAGAGTCTTGCATTATTAGCCGTAATAGTCACTGTTTACAAACCCATACTTCCTCCCCAGAGAGCTCAACTGAATCAAATTTTTTCAGGAGCATATATATATATATATATATATATATATATATATATATATATATATATATAGTTAGGCATAGAGTGGCTAGCAAATCCATCTAGCAGTTTTCTTGGTCATAGTCATCGTCATCGACTGTCCGTCATATTCGTCGAAAACACAAGGAGATTCATCTAGGCTTGAATCGCGTGTCTGGACCGATGCTCACTGTTAGCTGGCTTGAATCGCGTGTCTGGACCGATGCTCATGTTAGCTAGCTTGAATCGCGTGTCTGGACCGATCCTCACTGTTAGCTGGCTTGAATCGCGTGTCTGGACCGATGCTCACTGTTAGCTGGCTTGAATCGCGTGTCTGGGCCGATGCTCACTGTTTAGCTGGCTTGAATCGCGTGTCTGGACCGATGCTCACTGTTAGCTGGCCAGACTCGATGCTTCGCTTGTTGCTACTCCGGTATGAAGCGTCCGGCGCCATGCAGGGCGGCCCACAGCTAGTGGTTCCCTGTTATTTACATCGAACTGCATCGCTTTCAGATCCATCAGTCATTATAGCATCGTCTTTGACCTCTTCGCTCTCGATTTCCGCACTTTAGTTCACCATAGGGAGCGATGTGTTGCAATTGAGATAGACAAATGATAGACATGCCCATTCCATCGTAGTCTCGCTGCTGCAGGGTTTCTACACTTGGCATGTTTACTCTAGCATGGACTTCGGCATTACGGAAACTGACTTTACACGAGATATGTATGATGTAGTATAAATGGCAGTACTGCAAAATTGTCAAGAGCTTGATATCCCGGAGGTATAGTGTTCAAGTTTGGGATGCAAACTGCTCGATAGACTTTGATCTTGGTGACAGGCTTGATACCTCTCTGGTACGACATTCCGCTTCTCAGGACACCAAAAGCGGCACTGGCTGCTTGAATTCGTTTGTTGATTTCATTGCTGAGTGTGACCTCTATTTATCGCATCTCCGAGATAAACAAAAACAGAGAACGGAATTCAGTGGCTCACCGGCAATCGTGATTGTCGGCTCCATATAGGGATCACTAAGAGCGGGCTTATAATGGGTTTCGTTTTTGTTTTTGTTTTTATATTAATCTTCAGGTCGAAACTTTTTGAAGCGCTTCGGAAGCGCGTAATGATTTGCGAGTCAGCAAGAGAGCCAGAGCTGAAGGAGGAATGGTCAGTGTCAGCGTAGAGCAGCTCCCGGATAATCATTTTCAAAGCTTTTGTCTTGATTTAAGATGTCGCCATCCAGCCTAGAGGCGCAGCTATACTTCCTTGCGTGCACAGCCCGACGTGCAAGTAAGAGCATAAAAAGTGTTGACACGCCGACGCAACATGACCCCATGTGAAAACCGGAACTATGTTGAGCGAGATTCTCTAACTGATGCAGTAACAATCATGCCATCATGAAATTGATGTATGATCTCTAAAAAATATCTGAACAGCCATACGGGCTTATCCGCCTCAATAGCATGTCTATGTCGACCGTGTCAAAAACCTTCGTGAAGTCAACAAAGTCTATGTCGAGAGATCGGAGTTGTTCATGTCTATGATGAAGCGATTAGAGCGAAAGCCACCATGGCTTTCAGGAAAAAAAAAAACTCTTCTGGTACCTCTTTAACCTCATTTGGGGGAACGCTGTTTTGATTAATTCTTGCTGACTATACACACACACACACACACACACACACACACATATATATATATATATTATAATATTTTTATTATAATAGATTACAATAAAAACATTTTACATCGCTACACAAAAACTTTTATGTTTCGGAACTATAATAGTCCTTCCTCAAATTATCTACTATCACCTGAGCAATTTTGTATTGAGCACTTTTTAAAAAAACCTAAATACTACGAATTGTAGATTCTTACTTCATCTGTTCTTTCTCTCTCTCTCTCTCATATATATATATATATATATATATATATATATATATATATATATATATATATATAGACTGTAACAGCAAAATTGTCCAAATCGTGTAACAGCAAAACTGTCCAATTGTTAGATCAAGCTTTGAATCGTTGTATCTTAGAAATGATTAGAGATATCTTACTGGAATTCTTCGAGGGTCTTATACCACTATCGGACTCTACTCTGAACAATAAGAATGTATTTAGCTCTAAGATGAAATGATGATCCCTCTTATTGTTGTGACCTCCTGATCCACTCTTTCACTCTATTGTTCCCTCTTTTTTAATTTATTCACCGTTCTCTGGATGGTTCTTGTATGGACTTTGAAGATGAAAACCAGAATATGAATGTTGGTACCATTACTGAAGGCCTGAACGATCATTTTCCTCTCATCATTGCTCAGTTGGGAAGACATAGTGGAGCTGATACAAAATGGTTTTAACTTGTTACTTTCTAGCTGAATAACTCAAAGGGTTTTTCAGTGATTCTCACGACAAATGATGTCAAGATGTCTAAACGTCTTATCTGAAAACCTGAAAAAAGAAACTCAATTAGTTTATTGTTTTTTTTTTTACATATTAAACATTTTGTGGGATGGACAATTATCCCATGCTGTTACACGATTTGGACAATTTTGCTGTTACACTATTTATATATATATATATATATATATATATATATATATATATATATATATATATATATATATATATATATATGTGTGTGTGTGTGTGTGTGTGTGTGTGTGTGATACATAATCCAAACAAAGTTTGAAGAATATGACAAATGGAAAACCGTTTCATTGAAACTAGATTACGTGTTTTACCCTTACTAGACTTCATCAGTTAAAAAAACGAAATAAATAAATATATGTGTGTATTTGTGTGTATACTTAGATAATAAATCGTTAGACTTTTCCACTAAGTTGGTGTTTCTCGGGTTGAAAGAAAAGAATGAAATTGTGCGAATTTTGTAAAAATAGCTGTTATTTATTCTGTATCATTTGTTTACAATTTTATTGTTTTTGTTAAAATTTATTTATACCTTAAATTCAATGCAGAAAAGTTGGGAAATGTATAAATCAATTGGGCCATATAAACTTGGTTGGAAACCAGGCTAGGAGATAGAAAACTGAATTCAAATCAGCTTAGAGAGGATTGTGTTCCGTCAATCTGTCTTACCCTTGAAACGACACTGCTGATACGATGGTAGTAGATGTGATTCGTGATCGTGACTATCAATTTCAGTTTGCATGAGGGCTGAACAATTCTCAGCCCGACCAAGAAATGAACCCAAAATAAATTCTGGTGTTTGGAAATTGGGTCGGATTTTAGGAAATTGGTCAGACAGGAAACGTTTCATCTACTCCTCACACATATAATACGCTACTTGTACTTGTGTATTTCGTATTTATAACTTTTTGATGTACTAATGTTATTTCCCCTGCCATATCGTAATGTTTTTGTTATGACAATATCAGATTGCAGCAAGATGTTTAGGAAACGGAGGGATTGGCCCTGTGTAAGAGCAGAACATAATAATAACTACAAATATATTTTTAAGGATTCGCATGAGAAAACCTACTAATAAACATAAGCCGTCCTGGGTATGACGATAAACTACGTCCAACAGCAAGACCTCTGATCAGTTTCTTAATTGCTAATGTTCCCAGATCCACCCTGACCCGGGGTGGTAGCACCTGCTAGGGTCCCAGCTATGGACAAATAGTTAACTCCTAAACTGAGGTCAAGCACTATGA